AGACTCGGCTCTCATCAAGGTTGCCGCTGTAGGGAGTTTGGACCTTAGGTTCCACCAAATCGGAGCCGACGGGAAACAGGAGGATTTGGACGTCACTATGCCAGGAGTTTTGTTTGTACCCGGGTGTGGTTTTAACCTTTTCTCGGTATGGAAGGTGTCTCACAAGCATGAAGTCCGTATCAACCCTAACGGTACGCAAATGATGCACGGAAAATTGCGTTTTATTCGTGGCGTTTCGAGCGATTCTNCGACGGGAAACAGGGGGATGTGGACGTCACTGTGCCAGGAGTTTTGTTTGTACCCGGGTGTGGTTTCAACCTTTTCTCAGTATGGAAGGTGTCTCATAAGCATGAGGTCCGTAGCAACCCCAACGGTACGCAAATGATGCACGGAAAACTGCGTTTTTATTCGTGGCGTTTCGGGCGATTCCCTTTTTGCAACCCGCCTTCCCCACAAATCCCTGCCTTCTATGGACGTTGCGAATGAGAGTGCCCGTGAGAGTTCTTTTTCCTTTGTGGCATCGGCTCTTACAGCCGCGATGGATTCCGTGTTGGAAACTCGTGACTTCTGAAGAAATATGTGGTGTATTAATGAGAACTTGCCCGGAGAGACAGGTCGGCAAGGTGGAGTGAGCACGGTGGGCTGCGCTCCCCATGGCTTCTCGCTACAGCTTTTCCTCAGCAATAAATCTATTCGCTGCAATCTATTCGCTGCAATCTACTCGCTGCAATCTACTCGCTGCAATCTACTGACCTTTGTGTTACGTTTCGTTACAATACCAAGTATCACCTACTACACCGCAATACACGTCATACATTCGATACTACAGCCACAATTCACGAACACCCTCCCTTGGGGCTGTCGTCTCGACCAGACCTAATAATACAAAATCAGATACTAACTCAGATCTCTACTTCTCAGCTACTGAGCCAAGGACAAAGTCACGGTGAACTTCAAAAAGGTTTCTCGCTAGAGCCTTTGCGAGGATGTCAGCATGCTGCTCCTTGATTGGGACATGGGTGACCTTGATCACGCCCTCCTCCGTCAAATTCCTAAGGAAGTGGTGCCTCACGTCAATGTGCTTACTCCTACTCGAGCTAAACGGATTCTCTGCAAGCGCAATCGCTCCTTCGTTGTCCTCAAAGACGNTATACTCTGCTTCAGAAGTTGACAGTGAGACACATTTCTGCGTCCAAGAAAACCAAGACACAAGACAGCCAGCTACAAGAATTAATGCTCCAGAAACTGGTCTACGGTCAGTGGCCTTGCTGGCAAAGTCAGCGTCTACGTACACTATCGTGCCTACGTCTACCGTAGTGTCCTGCTTGTACTTCAGAGTTAGATGTGCCGTTTCCTTAAGATAACTCAAAATCTTCTGGGCTGCCTTCCAGTCACTCTTCTTGGGCTCGTGAGAGTGTCTCGCCACCGTCCGCACAGCGTTCGAAGTTTCTGGCCTCGTATTGTTGGCGATCCACATCAGGCATCCCACCACTTCCCTGAACGGCACATCTCCTGCCTCCTCATCCTCCATCACGGACCTGCTATCGTTGGCAGGGGAAGCGGGGATCGAGCTGGTGCGACAAATATTGAATCTCTCTAGAACACTCCTGATGTAACTCTCTTGAGAAATCTCAATCGTGCCAGCCTCGCGGTCGCGACTAAATGCGCAACCAAGAAAGAATCTGACTTCTCCCAAATTCTTCGTAGGAAGAGAGTCACCTAGTGCCTCTACAATCACCTCGGCAAGCCTCTTCGTTCCTGCATACAGAATGTCATCCACATGAATCGCGATTATACCCATCACCTCGTCTCCCATCATGAAACGCAGGACACAGGGATCAGACAGAGACTGCTCGGAACCTTATCCTCTTCAGGTCCGACACGAGCCTCTTGTAAAATGTTCTAGATGCTTGCTTCAAACCGTACAAACTCTTGTTCAAACGGACAATTTTTCCTGACATCGAATCACAGCCAGGAGGCAACTTCATGAACACCTCGTGATCCAATTTCGACTGAACAAAGGCTTGCTCAATGTCTAAGTGGAGTAATTCCAAGTTATACTTGCACGCCAATGCTACTACCAATCGAATCGATGCAGCATTTGCAGTAGGCGAGAAAGTCTCAAGATAGTCCACCCCATGCTTCTGCTTGAAGCCCTTCGCTACAAGCCTAGCCTTGGCCTTTACTATCTTTCCTGTTTCGTCTGCTTTCCATTTGAAAACCCATCTAGCATCAATCACGTTACAACCTTCTGGGATTTTTGCTGCTAACGTGAACGTTCCTGCTCGTATCAAGCCTTCAACTTCTGCAGACATGGCTTTATCCCAAATCGTGGCATGCTTCGATCGCAGAGCTTCTTGATAGCTACCAGGCTCTGGCTCTACGTCCTGAATGAGCTCTTTCGGCAATTCTACTGCATCACCTGCTCTCTGCTCCGCTATGAGTGCATGTACTATCTCTGATGCTGAGATGGGTCCTAGAGTAGCCACAAGGCCGGATACGCTCTGCTGATTTATCGCACGGGTTTGCGCACGAGTTCTACCAGCTCGGACCTCATCACTCTCACGCGCAGCAGTATTAAAATCAGCAAGGTCAACGACATGCTGCGGACGGCGAGCGGCTGGAGGAGATGCCTCCACCTCTACTTCCTGCCCTCCCGGCCCCGCCGACTCTGTATCCTGCCCTCCCTGATCCATAGACTCTTCTTCATGCCCTCCCGGATCCTCCGACTCTACTTCATCATGCTCTCCCGGATCTTCGGACTCTACTTCCCCCGTTTCCTGCCCTCCCTGCTCCTCCCCATCAGTGGACTGAGAAGATATGGAGGGAATTGATCTACTAGGGGAGGTTGGGAGGACCGCTGCACTATTTCGCAAAAGTGTGTGGGCAACTCCTCTTCCTACAAGTGGCCATACCTCAGCTTCTACATCGTCGTCACTTTCCTCCCCTTCCTCCTCTGCGACCTCTATCGGCAGCGGAGGTTGCGGTGGAGGGAGCTGTGACGGCAACGCTTCCCACGTTACGTTCCTCGTTTCCTGAATAGTCCCAGCTCTGGTGAGTACTCTATGACAATCACGTGGGTGGTCTCTCGAAGGACCAACATAAAAGCAACTCTCACCCTTCGGTAGCAGCTTAGACGGTCGCTGCCATTTACAGTACGCTGGCTTCAAAAACGGATACGGTCTAGCAGGACGAGCTTCCCCATACCACATTTCATACGGCGATTTGGAGTCGGGGTTAGCAGAACAAGCCGTGTGATTGAGTGCCTCGCAGGCCCAGTGCATGGCCTCCGCCCAGAGTCTATCAGTCTTAGGTAACTGCACATGCCCAAACAGAACTTTCGCCTGAATACGAGCCGCCATTGCGGCCTCTTCTATCAATCCCAAACCACGTTCCGCAACACCATTGAATTCGGGACTGTGAGCCGGGGTGAACTCTTGTTTAATCAAGAGCTCATTGCACACAGATGCAAATTCTCCACCGAAAAATTCCCCTCCATTGTCAGATCTAACAATCTCAATCAATGATGGGATCCCATCAGCACGCACATTCGCAAGAAAACTTCGGAAAGCACTGCCAGCGTCTGATTTACTTCTTAGGAAATACATCCATGCACGCCTTGTGAAGTCATCCTTCAAAATCATGGGGTAATGTTTGCCCCCTATGGACGCAACGCCCTTCTTCCCTCCCAGGTCAACAAAAACTCTGCCTAACTTTTTGTCTGATCTATTTGTAGTCACATGAGCAATCGCCTTACGAATTGCTTTTCCCATCGAACATCCCGAACAAGCATGCATTTTACCGGTCAACTCGATACCTAGTCGCTTTGCAGTGGTCCTAAGCAGCCCTTCATGCGCATGACCATAAATGTTATGAAAATCGTTCACATCCATGATTTTTACGCGCTTGGGGTTTGAAGGGGTGAGGGCAGCCAACACCGATCCAATAGAGTTATGTCCGAGACGATACGCAGTAGCAACAAGCATGCCATCGAAATTCTGAAAAGTAACATGCCCGTGGAAAGCAGTCATCACACCGTCAGGACCACCAAGGCCATTCCATGACTCGCCATCAAACTCTGCGCTGGGAGAGAAAAGGTTGTACCCTAACTTGGGGGCATATAGCACATTCTTCAACTCTGCAGAAAACTCGCTGTCAGCAGACACAAACGCCACTTCAAGAGTTCCTGATAGTGCTACCTCACAAGTTACGCCACCAATTCCTTTTACTTTCTTGTGGCAAGGTTTCACATCCTTCATGCAAGAGAGAGAGTCTGTCATGTGGAAAGCTGTACCCGTGTCCGCATACCAATCTTCGATGCATCTATCCTTCTTCGTAAGAGTGGAGTGTTCGCGAATAGAATCACGGACAACACGGTCACTGCCGACGTACTTCTTCAACTCATCCTCTGCTTCGGTATACAACGCTTCAAGATACATGGTATCATGGTGTTCCAAAACAGCATCATTTCTACTGCTACCACGGGACTCCTGCCACTTCTGCATGATTTTGGCATACATTGCTGCAATGTACTTGCCACCACTCCATTCGCTTGAGTTGGCTTGAGATAACAACAACACCAAGTCAGACTTCTCACCGTTCTCATCCTTGTCGTCCTCGGATGGTCCGGTCTGAGAGGGATGAGCTATCACACGAGCCAGGCAGTCCATCTTCAAGTGACCCTTCTCCCAACACTTGAAACACTTCCCCTGAAAAATCTTTTTCTTAGACGAATCAGACTCGGAGTTAGACTTTGACTTCTGGTTCTGCTTCTTCGCACTCTTCCTCACAGGTCTAGACATGAGTGCAACACTGTGTTTCTTCGGACCAGGTTGAGTCAGCAAGTCGAGATACCTCTCACGCACTTTAGTCTCTATGAACGACGGGTCATTCGGACAGAACACCACCAGAGTTTCACGCAGGGTCTTATACTCATGTGACAATCCCTCGAGCATCAGGTTGCATACCTCTCTGTCATCTTTCTTAACTTCCAGCATCTGAAGCACACCAAGCGTCTCTCTCATAGATGTAAAGAAGATGGAGGGATTCTCATTCGAACGCATGCGCAATGACTTGAGTTTCTCCTCTTGCACACGAATCTGACTCTGGCTCAACGGTAGGAAGTGATCTTTGAGCACTCGGAACGCCTTGCTGGGGGAACCAGCGTGCCTAGCCATAGTTTTCAGACTTTCCTTCTTCAAGCAATCAAACAGAAACCACCATCCCATTTCAGCCTGACGCAGCACACCCACACTGAATCCTTTCTCTACCCAGGGGGTCAAGTCGAAACCAATGTCAGCAATTGGAATCTCAGTCTCAGAAACAAACGCTTCAAACAGATTGTTGTGCCGGGCACTCAGCAGAAAATTCTGTGACCACGAGGGATAGGACACGTCGGTCCCATCGAAAACAGGAGCCTTGGGGACTTTAAAAGGACCCCTACCCAATTTCTCTCCTGAATCTGTAATGCCGGCCCCAGGAATCAATGTGTTTCCACTGGCGACACTTTCCCACCACTTACTCGACGGAGTAGGTGCGGGTGGAACAGAGGACTGGCTACCTAAAGCCCCACCTACAGTCCCGGGAACGAAAGACTGGCTACCTAAAGCCCCACTTCCAATTCCAATCGAACCAAAGCTTGCAGCACCAGCAGAGGAACGATTAACAGCAGTCACATGAGGGTTCAAGCCTGAGTCTACAAGACTGCTACTCCCAACCCGCATGCCGGACACGCCAAGGCCTTGGGCATCGCCGCCCGTACCTCCCGCGGTCCTACCGGTAGCATCAGAAGGATGCGTACAGTCTCTGTTCCGCCGCCTCCCGGCGCGGCAGCCGAAACAGAGGACTCCACCTGCTCCCTCTGTTGGCCAACAAGCGACGTGACTAGAGTCGTAAGTTGGGACAACTGCGTCTCTAGGGAAACCATCCTCTCACCAACATCCTGCGAATTACCCTGAGGTGGGTCATCCGCAGACTTCCCCTCTTCACCAGCCATGATGAGATAGGTTGATCAGGCCTCTCTCGTACGGTCTCGTGCCGCCCAGGGGGACGTTGGAGCAGTTGACTTTTGTCGCTATAGCGTGTTGGAAACTCGTGACTTCTGGAGAAAAATGTGGTGTATTAATGAGAACCTGCCCGGAGAGACAGGTCGGCAAGGTGGAGTGAGCACGGTGGGCTGCGCTCCCCATGGCTTCTCGCTACAGCGTTTCCTCAGCAATAAATCTATTCGCTGCAATCTATTCGCTGCAATCTACTCGCTGCAATCTACTGACCTTTGTGTTACGTTTCGTTACAATACCAAGTATCACCTACTACATACACCGCAATACACGTCATACATTCGATACTACAGCCACAATTCACGAACAAGAGCCCCTCTCTACCCTCCCCTCCTGCAGTACTTTGCGTTCGATTATTAATGCGAGAAGAGTTCAGCACTCTCTTCCCTCTGTGTACACACGAACTAGCGCTATCCACTAGGTTAGGAGCGGAAGCGAGAGAAAAACTCACTTTGCAAGAAAAGCTCGCTTACGCCGGGATTCGAACCCCTAACCTGACCTCTAGAATGTTTCGGGGATACCAACAAGACTAGACCACCGGGGCGACCGGATGTACAGGAAGATATAATTCCTCGGGGTAACTTGCGATCGGGAGAAGAAGTGGCGAGTAAAGCACCGAGGAGATTTGTCTCTTCCGAAGTCCATGGCCGCTTGCCGAGGGAAGAGATAGAGGAGCCTCCTGCTCGCCTCTCTCGACCCTCTGGTCACACTCTTTTTCTACCTTTCTCCTCGTTTCATCTCACGAAAGGAAATAGCCACCCTTGGCAGTGGGAGAATACTGCAAGAGCACCGGCGTCTGTCTCTGACAGGGACTAGACTAGTGTCCTAATTTACTTGTATTTTTTAGAGGGGTAGGGTGGGCATTGTGCGCACGCGTCCTGCCCCTGGGTGCCCCCGAGAAAAGTGTGATGCGCGGGCGGGTTGAGCTCCCCAAGGCGAGGTCCATTCTTCTTATCATGGACAACTTGCACGCGCAGACTATAGACGAGTTCAAGGAGTATCTTGCGAAGCACTGCAGCAACACTCTCGCCTGGTATGGCTCTTCGGAGTGCACGGACGAGGTGTTGATGCAGGAGCCGGACGATTTCTCAAGGTGGAAGTCGGGAGGCAGATGGACATATGGCTCGATCGAGCAGTCGGACAACCTCGAGAGGTGGGAAACCGCGTCACTGACAGCTTCTGATCGGCGCGTCCTGATCACTCAGTGGATGGGAGCAGCCATGGCAAGACTCAACAGTCAACGGGCGTACCGATACCGTCTTTTCGAAAAGTGCAGGATGGCCATGACCGTGGACGGCCGGGCGATGATCGAATCACCTTGGAGGGTTTGGACAAGCCGTATACCTTCGCTAACGATGAAGACAGTATCGACGACGAACAAGGTTCGGAGAACGGCAACGATGAGGCTGAGGGGCGGGCGGAGGAGGGCGATGGAGGACGTGAGACGCTCATGGAGGGCGTTGACTCCAGCGATGAAGACGACGGCGGCGGTAAGTTTGTTTTGCACAAAACCAACACTTCATCTTCTTTTTGTTGATCACGATGTCCTTCATGTTGACGTTAGCTTGTTCCCGCGCACGGCTACACTCAAATTGTCATAGGTTCAGGTTGGGTTTGGCGACGTGACACCCTAACTTATTGTGTTTCCCGTTTCCTCGTTCGCAGACATCTCTCAACCCCAGACCGACGAGCTAGCTCTTCTAGACGACGACGACAGCATGGGCCCACGAGACCCGGAGGATGAGATACAGGGAATGGAGATCCCGGCAGGCTTTCGT